CATATGATACTGGGTTGATCTCGTTTTCGCAACTCTGTCTTATTGTCAGGGCGATTTAGTGGAATGCACCTTGTCCTAAGTCCTCTACCATAGTAGTTATCACAATTCCCAGCCTCAGACAATGGACTTGGTACATTCTTAAACGTTTCGCCGGCATCATCTTTAAGTTTTGACATTCTTAGCACCAAGCAACTAACTCGTCAAAGAGAGAAGTGATGTCAATCCCTCGACAAACGTTCTGCCGATAACGGTTACACTATCACTCCTCTTTCTGTCCTGGTCTATCTATCTACTCTTTACTCTCTTATTTAACTCCCGCCCTATCACAACTTTTTACTTGCTTACATTCCACTCGTCAAAATGTGTGCCCCTTGGTGGCAAATCTGATGTGGTCTCATCACCTGCTATTTACCCCGACCCTCTCTATTTCGATCGGTTAATCTAACTCGGGCCTACAATCTGGATCCCATCATGGTCCCGTAAAACCGTTCCTTATCTTTCTGGTTGACCGATTTCACTTGGTTCTAGTCTTAGTGTACATTTTACACCAGGCGCTATTTCTCAAGGCCCTATAAGGGCGTAGACTTCCGCCTCACCGATCAGAGCGCCTAGGCTCTGATTCCCATGCTTGCAGATATTAGGTATTCCCTTCACTGGTCGTCTCCTTGATTCAACCCATGCTACCTGAGCAAGCTGTAGACGCCTATCTCTGGTCGGATGCGGCATCTCAAGTATATTTATAGTATATTTTGGTCATAACGCCGAATTCCTGTGACGGTTTGCTTATCCGTCTGAATAGCTCCCTGACTGCCAGGCTGTTTGAGAATATATATATATATATACAAAGAGAAACTTGGTTTCGATGAATCTCCTGAGATAACATTGTTAGGTGGACCTTCATTTTGAATGAAAGTGTATGAAGAAGAGATTCGTTGGTCGATCTCACCAGATGAGGACGGATGAAACTCGTTGTAAAGCCGTTTGGCTTTTATACGCTATTCATGTTGACGCAGTCCACGAGACTTTTGTAACTTTGATAAGTTGTAATTCTGTGCTCATTGATGATGTCAGCGAAACGTTTGGGAATTGACCCAGCCAATGGCTCAATGCTGGAAATCACGAATACTATGGCAGAGGATACGGGACTAGCTACGTTCCATAAGGTCTCTGACGCGCAGACCAAGTTGCGAAAACAAGGTTGAACCAACACAATCGAGACATATTATCAGTTTACATACTAAGAATTATCAAATTTTTGTTTCTTTTCGTCTTATCTTTTGGGTAGCGAATATTTGCTTGCTCTTGTTCATCTGAAGTGAGTGCTCAATAGTAGTCATTGAGTGAAAGTATTTGGTGAAAAGATTTGAAGGCCTATTCCACCAGAAGACAACGGAGGATTCCTCTTGATCTTCAAATCTCTTCACCAAACTCTTTCACTCGAAATGGAAGAAAGCTCAACACTTAATGATCATTGAATTGTGAATCAAATCAATTTTGTTGCTAACTCGTTTTTAGGTTTTGACTATAGGTTTGGAAGTGTTTTTTATTGGAAAGCAGTGCGATTTTAAAGGCTACACCATATTTTATATCTTTAGATCAAAGCCCAGTGTTTATTCTTTTTTTGACTCTTTATCTCCATCCTATCCCACTGTACGCCTTGTTCATAGACTAATTTTTTTTTAAATGAATAGCTACATAATCTATTTGATGGTAAAATTGTAGTTGTATTCTGGGTAAATCTATGATGGAAGAGAATGCAATTCAGGGGTCGGATACATTATTAGTTTATTGATGCTCAAGACGGTTGTTTTGTATCCTATCTTGAAAATAGACGATTTAAAATCAGGACGTTTTTCTGTATGGGATCTGAGGGTAGCTTCTAACATCATGGCAACTATATTTGATGCCTTTGCTGCTCTATAATAGGTCAAATGGACAGGATTAGATGTGTTACAAGCTTAACTTGCTGAGCAAGGCTTTCCTAAGGACCAAGCTTGGGCCGTTTAATTTCCCTTCCTATGGCATATTATTGCTCCATCACCTTTACATGTCAATTGTTTTGCTCGATGTTCCATCAAATACTGTCACTGCATAGGCTTTTATGAACCTCTACACAAATTTATCTTTGTTTAAATTTTTTTTATTCTATTCTTAAGGGTTTCGGCGGTCTCCTAATGAAGCGTCTGGGTTGGTCACCTGGCCAGGCACTTGGTCCAGCATTCGTTTCTTCTAACCTCTCTTACTCTCAGCCAATTGGCCTCCTTGAACCTCTAGCACCTACCATCACTCCTGCGCACACATCCCGAGCTGGTCTTGGCTTTTGGGGTCCAAAACGAATTCGTTTGTCAAACAAAGATGCACCAATTTTACCCAGACTCAATCTCGGCATTATCGGGGGAGGGGCGCGAGGGTCAGGAGAGACGTCAAAACAGTCGAGTTCTACTATCTCCCCTAGATCTCTTCCGCCGCACTCCTCAGATCACTTGCCTTTAGCTACATCCAATAGTTTTCATTTTGGCTCTCTTCATCCTGTCAGAACTGTTATCCTGACACCGATTACTTCCTCGTCATCACGAAGGACCGTCTCTGGAATAGCCTTTCTCAAGAAGCATACTATTTAAGGACTATGTATAGCCAATTATCACTCAAAATCTGTACATATTCTATTATGATGCAAAGCAACAAAGCATAAGGATGTATAATTTATCAAATGATTTCTTCGCGGTTTATTAAAACGCTTTAATTTTTTGTATGTTCAATCAGTTTAACTTATGAGGTGTATTCACCCTATTTTATTTAAGGTGACGAAGGAATAATAATTATTGTAAAATTCTGTTACCCATCCCTCGTTATCCTAAACGAGAGTTAATTGGGTATAAGGCTGAACGAAAACATAGTAAAGGGAAGTGAGGAGAAGCTTGATATGCTGTCATCCAGGATTTTTTGAGTTTTGTTACCTATTTTATCTCCCCTCCGTACTCTAACGTTTTCCGTTGTGTTTCACCAGGCGTGGTAA